AGGCTGCAGGCCACACAGTCCTGGCTTTTCCAAAGTGTCTCAGCTCCAACTCCTTACCTTGTGCCACCCCACAGCCTCATTCCTGACCCAAGTGGGCATATAGACCGGCCTCCAGTTGGCCACGCTCAATTCTCCCTTCTCCCTCCCCCTCCCACACACAAGCCGCAGTCACATCAGCTTCACCGCTGAAGATTCATGAGATCCTTGAGCAAATCATAAAACCCAAAACTCTTCCTCTCTTCTTTGCCTTGTTAACCTTTATTTGTCTTTTAAGACTTGACCCTTAGTCACCTCCTCCAGGAAGCCTAACTGGATTCCACCAACTCCATCTCCCATTGCTCCCAGGCTGACACTTCTGTGAAGGAGCCTGGTGTGGGCAGGTCACCACAAACTCCTAGGTCTTATCTGAGCACAACAAGTGAGGCAGGGAGTAAGGGAGGTATTGCAGGTGCAGCAGACAGGGTCCAAAGTGGATGGGCCTGAACACCTGAGAAATAAGTTGGATTTTAGCTGTAAGTGATGATGCCTCACTGACATTCTGTAAGGAGGGGCTGATAAATCACATTCCCACCTTGGAAATGTCACTCTGGCCGTTAGGAGGAAAACAGAATGGAGGCCGGCCAAGAAGCTGGGTGGCCAGTTTCCGGGCTAATTCCACAGTCGGGGTGTGTAATGATGGGCCTTGAGCAAAGACACTTTGAGAGGTGGAAAATGGGGGCAGACTTATGAAATATTCAGGGAACAAGCATTCACCTGGTCTTGATGATGGGGAGGGGCCAAGAGTGCCAGACATTTGATGTCCCCCAGGGCAACTGTAGCCTCACATCTCCCTCCTGCTCCCTTAACCTTCTCAGACCCCATGCCAGGTGCTCCCAGCACCCCCGCCCCTCCCTCTGGGCACCCGGGTACTGAGTGCTTTGGGAAGGGAGTCTAGGAAAGGGGTACACCAGCCAGAGGATCAGGGAGGCAGCCTGGGTTCCTGCCTCTGCATCTCCTTGAGGAGCCTCCCAATAAACATGCTCATCCTTCCCACCTGCACCTGGATGCTTGGCTTGTGTGTTTCAAGATGGTTTGAACTTTTTCAAAAAATTAAAATTCTCAGTCAGTCTAGCCAATCCTAGTGAAGGACCACACGGTGAAACATGACAAGGGTCTTTCACAGGCTCTACTGCACGGAGCTGGCCAGGCAGCCAGAGGCGGCTCCTCATGAATCAGTCTCTGTTAGAACGTCAGCGACTCAAAGCCTCGCTCTGCCCCTGGGAGTCTGACTGAACAGTGACAGAAGCGTTTATGATGAAATGTGGAAAGAGAGTCTGAGCCATCTTGGATGAAAAGACCTCCATGATTGATGGTTTGTTTTTTTTTTTAAGTAATAGAAACATGTATTTCTTTGTAACTTATCTCAACATAAAAACTTATTTTTATATTATTATAATTGTGCTACATGTGATTTGTCTTTTAAATATTCTACTCACTTTCCCATGTTACTGTGTAGCACTTTTAACTACATTTTATTTTTTAAGAAGCAATTTTATTGAGATATAATTGACATGTAAACATATGTAAATATTTAATGTATACAACTCTATGAGTTTGGGGATAAATATATACTCATGAAACCATCACCACTATCAAGGCCATAAACATATTCATCGCCTCCAAAGTTTCCTCCCACCCCCTTTATTGTAATAATTATCATTTTGTGTTCATGTGATAAGAACACCCCCTTCCCCCAATGATTACTGATTTCAGTTGTTCATTTGTCCAAAATGTACTGTGTCCACACCATGCCCAGGACTGACTTGGCCCAGAGACACAGAGGTGACAGCAGAGACTAGACATCTGTCTGCGTGGAACCTCTGGTGGAGGCGTCAGATGACAAACCCATAAACTTGTTAAATACTGTTACAAGAAAACTTCAGGTAGTGACCAGCACGATGAAGAGAACAAACAGGGTCTTAGGACGTAGCATGATGGGCAGATGTACTTTTGGAAGATCCTTCTACACAGGTGACATTTCAGCAGAGATCTGAAGACTGATAAAGAGGTGGCCATGTCCCAGGCAGAGGAACAGCTTGTGCAAAGGCGTTGAGGAGGGATCAAGATGCCATCGTGAGATTACGTGTAAGAGAGTTGTGGGATCTGGAGAGTCAAGTATCCAAGGAGCAATGAGCATTGGAGACTGAATGTCACAGGAAACATGTGAGCCACCATGTGTGACTCCACAGCCCATCAACACAGGCAGCCAGGACCGTGGAAGGTCTGGAGATGGGGGCACAGTTGAGGTGTGCGTGAGAGAACTGTGGAGGCTCTATTCATCTCTGTCCTAAAAAACTATTTACCATGTGTTTACTGTGTGTTGGGCACTGCAGATCCCACAGCAAAGCCCAGTTCCTGCCCTGAAGGAGCACCTGACTTAATGCAGAGACATTCAGTCTAGCGCACGTAAGGACAGGAAACACAAGGACACTTGAGAACTTTTCAGAGAACTCTCCAGCTGAACAGGGTTTGCAATGCTCTGTGCAAGTCCAGAGAGCAGGGCAAGTGGGCTTTGCACCCCCTAAGGAATGAAAGCTGCCCCAGAGGAGATGGACAACTGTGGGAGCTGATTTTGTGAGAGTCTTTCAAGCCAAGCTGTTGAACCAGTCTGGGGACCGGGTGTGGGGGGGAGATGTGACGGATGGTTCCCAAAGGGTATCCCATGGAGCACTAGTCCATGTGTTCCACGAAAAACAAGAGTTTCCTGATCACATAAGCTTGGGAATCACTTACTGCTATATACCTGTTTTGGTAATTTTGTAATGCATACTAATCTATACAAGGTCCTAAGAAGTCCTGCAATAAAGAAATCTGTTTAACTTTTTAACCCAGCTTTAAGTGAATTTGGCCAAATAAATTTTTCTTGTCTCATCTTAAAATAAGAATTTTATTTCATTCCTTCTTAAGATTTGCCTGCTTCTTGCTTCATCCCAGTACAGGAGTGAGTGGCAGCAGTGCAGGTCCTTCCCCTGCCTCTTCCCCACAGCTCTACTTGCCTGGCTTCTCTGGCCCTGGTGACACTAGGATGCTGGACTCTGAGCCTTTGTGGCTGAAAACAGGAGAGGAAGAAGGCATGGGGTGACTTCCCTGCCAACAGTTATATAAAGGGCTGCTGGTCTTAATGCATGCATGCCCACTGACACACGCACACAACTACACACTCAGTATGCACAAAGCACACACCTTTAAAGAGAGGCATCGAGGAGCTGGCAAGGCCCCTTTAAAAGCTAGGCTGCTTCTGATTTCTAGTCAAACTTGGGGCAGTTAGGATATGTGGATTTTGTTGGTTTCATTTTTGTTTTCTTTTTTTCTTTTATCTTTGTATTGAGGTTTTCAAAAAAGAACGTTATGGATGTGGCAGAAGGGACAAGATTTCTCTCTATGATTGACAGCAGGGACTGACGGGGACCAGAAGCTCCAGGTTATTAAAAGAAAAAGAAAAAAAATATATATATATATATTTATATATTTCTACATTTATATAGGTCACTTTATGCATGAGTCCCAGAGAAGCAGGAAGCAGAAACAAAAAGACACTGACATACAGAAACACGTGTGTGTACCACATACTCAAGCACTGCAATTCCTTTGACTGCAGCAGCGGAAATCCCCACCCATTCAACCCACCTTCCCCTCCAAAATAGAAAAGAAACTCTGCCTTTAAGAACGGGCAGTCTAGTGGGAAGCTGTTGCATAGCACAGGGAGATCAGCTTGATACTTTGCGATGACCTAGAGGGGTGGGATAGGGAGGGTGGGAGGGAGGTGCAAGAGGGAGGGGATATGGGGAATATATGTATACATATAGCCGTTTCACTTTGTTGTACAGCAGAAACTAACACAACATTGTAAAGCCATTAGACTCCAATAAAGATACCTTTTTAAAAAAAGAAAAAAAATCCAAAGACAAACAATTAAACTCAATCTTATCTTTGTTAAAAAAAAAAAGAACAGGGCCATCCAGTAATTTTTGACCTCCTGACCACACACAAAAAAAGAAAAATTCCAGTCTAACATCAGCTTTAAGGCTGGCCATGGCCATTTTCTTCTCCCCGCAGAGGCAGGACATGCTGTTTTGAACTCTGAGGCAGGAGGGCCACATCGCTGCCCCTCACAAATACTTCAGACAGTTGTCTTCAAGACCGTGCAGTTTTTTGCCAGCTCCTATTTTGATCCCCAAGAGAGTAGTTCAGATGGAAGGCATTCAACCCTTGCGTCTTTTAAGATGACCTCTAGGAGGTGGGTTTTAGTAAGCCGGGAAAAATTCTGGAGCCAGTGTCAGGTAGGGCCGAGCACCAGCTGGGGCCTAGGGACCCAGGGTCTCTGCTTTAAGCCTCCTGACCACCGGAAATTATTGCCCTCCAGAGATTTTTTTTTTTAAATAAAGGGAAGGTGCACTGTACACCCCCCTCCACTGGGAGGAAGTGAGGCCCAATCCCTACCTACTCACCGGCACACCCCAAACCCATATACACACGCCAACGAAGCCGCCACCAGGGGCACAGGCATGCTTTGGCTGTGAGGCCCCTCCGGAGGCCCAGGGTGTGAACAGCTGCACAGAGGGCTGTGTGATGCGGAGTCAGCACCTTAGGAGATGGGACGGGGGCGGTGGGCAGAGAAGGAAGAAGCTCAGGGTCCCGGTGGATCAGAAGAAGGAAAAGGGGAAGAGGCGGTCAGGACATAGGAGACGAGAAAACAAAAACGACCAGAAAAGGGCCAAAAAGCAGAAAATGTAGAAAATAAGAGAGTGAAAAGAGAAAGAGGCAAAACAGAATGTGGGCAACCACACAAAACAGGAAGGAGACAGAGCAGAAGGAGGGAAGGGAGCAGAAAAGAGAGCGAGATGGTTGGGGAAGGATGTGAGCAGGGAGAGAGGGGAGCCAGGAGGAGCACATCAGAGGACGTCAGGGCTTGGAAACGAACTTCAGGTGAGAAGAGGAATCAGGAGCCCCTGGGCAAAGCCTCAGCCACTGACAAAATCCAGGTGGACCGAGAACACCAGGTCAGTCACATAAATCAGCAGGTTGATGGCTGTCAGACTGGCCACAGCCAGTCGTTGGTTCCAGGTACACACCAAGGAGGTGAGTCTATCGCTGCAGCTCACATCGCTGGACCGCTGGGGCTGGCCGCCAAACTTCTGGTTGAACTGGTAGAGCGGCCAGAGGACCAGAGCGGTGGCGTAGAGGAGGACGGACAGCAGAGTGAGCACAACCTGGAAAATGGGGAAGGGGACGGGCAGCCTGTTGTCACACTTGCCCAGGTTCAGCAGAAGGGCCACAGATGACAGGAGAAAGCAGATGGAGTACACGGCCACGCACCACACGAGGGCCGGCTGGTGCAGGTACAGGTAGGGGCTGCTGATGAAGACAAAGATGACACAGGCCACAATGGTCTCCAGCCCCTTGAGCAGGCCTGGCACAGTGGCCATATAGCCTGTGATCATGTTGGGCTGGGCCCTAGTCCAGGCCACTTCCATGGCATAAGCCACAAAAGCGAGGCAGGAGAATGCAGTGGAGGTGATAGTGCGGTCCCGGTAGCGGCTATCGGGCAAGAACTGAATGTAGGTGGTGGGGTAGATGATGGAGGCCGAGAGGCAGAGGAGGGCAGAGTAGCAGTTGCAGGTGATGAGAAAGTTGTCCCAGGAGAAGGGGAAGTGATCCTCGAGCTCACATAACTCGACTATGAGGTTGATGAGGGTCACGACGAAGCAGAAGCACCAGATGAACATGGACCAGTTACCTATGGTCCCCTTCCAGGTGCCCACGCTGGCTCCCAGGGAGAAGGCCACGCAGGTGGAGAGCAGCTGCAGCCGTCGGAGGCAGCAACCCATAATGGTTGAGGAGCCCAGGCCTGCGGACGATTACGTGGTGGTCGTTCTGGTCCTACTGGTCACTGCCACCAACATGGCAGTGGTCTTCACCGAGGACCCACCAGAGGAAGATTCAGCTCTGGAGGAGGATTGATCAGACGCCTGGAAAGTCTCAGGGGTCTGTGATGGCTGAGGCTCAAGATCTCTGGAGTTCGAACCAATTGTCCACACACTTGGGTAATGGCACTGCTGCTCCAGAATGATTCTCCCCACCCATCACCCTTGGCCTTCTCAGGAGACTTGTCTTATCCCAAGGTTCACAGCTGTGTTTGGTCTGGCATCAAACCATGAACATTTTTTTACCTCTTTGTGCTGCATGCCGTTATCTACAGAGACACAGGGTAGCCTGACCCTTATCTGTAACCACAACCCTTCAAGGCTCTGAAGACTGAACAAAAATTTTTTAAAAAATTGTTTGGCAACAAAAATTGAACTGAACAGACACAAGACAATTTATGGTCTTTATTTTATGTAGTGTGACTGCTCAAAAGTTCAGTGTCAGAAACACTAATGTGTTTGATTACAAGGTGCTTTCAGACCCCAGTGGGTGTTATGTCCTATAGAGTAGATACACCAAGTTACATGATTGAAGCTGAAAAATTCTGAATTCTGGAGCATATCTGACCCCAAGGATTTCAGAAAAGGGACTGTGGATTGTACTGCTAACCCCATTTTACAGATGAGAAAACTAAGGCTGGGGGAATTAAGTCCTTCCCTAAGGTGGCATGGCTAGGGTGTGGGAAACCCAGATACAAATGCCAAAGCCATAGGTTTGAACCCTTTGCTCTGCAGCCCAGAATTTCAGCAGGGTCCATGGGTGGGAGCCCAGGACCAAAGCTCAGGCTCTGGGAACCCAGGACACACCTTCAGGGCCATGGGCTCCTTCCACAGCAACCCGAAGAGACACGTATCCCCGCCTTTCCTCCCTGCAGCCGTCACTAGAAGGAGCTGCCATCTGAGGTGACACAGCCCCACCCAGAAGAGGGATAAGCCATGGGGTGAGAGCAAGGCTGTGGGGACAAGATGACATGTGTAGTAGGAACTGTTTTGAATCCCCTCCCCCCAGTTTTGCCTTAAAATGTGACTCTTCCCCACTTGGATAGGGAGACACCAACTCAGCATTACTCCAAGGTGAAAACATCCTGGGGGAACCACAGAATAAATTAACATAATGTTTGGCTCTTAAACTCCAAAGCTTCCCTCCAGGTGTGAGTCTGAAAAGATCGAGGAGTAGTACTACCTGAGCGAAGATTTTTCTGGCCTGGAAGATTGGTGATTAGTGTCCAAGCCGGGAAGGAAGGATTGGAAATGAACAAGGATGTCGTGTCTGGTTGCTGATGTGGAGGCTTTCAGGGCATCCCAGGGAGCGGGTGGATGATGAACAGATCAAAAGCCCCCTCTTAAGGGCAGGAGCTGAAAGAGGAGGCACCTGCTGGCCCTCTGGCAGGTGACAGCCCTGAGGATGCACCCAGGACTAGGGCGGGGGCCGGAGTGGCAGAGCGGGAATGACTGGGGGGGCGGAATTCCGGGGCCTGAGTGGCCCCAAGGCAGCCCAGTAAGTGTCTTCTGACCCAGAAGGGATGCAGGCCTGGAGCCAACCTTCCCCATGGAGGAGGAGCCTGGAGTGGAACTGAGGAGGCCCCATAGAAGCCTCCACATGTCTGAAGTGCTATGAATTGTGAGCTCCGAGGAGTGTCCCTCAACAGCAAAGCACCATCTTCACCATCTCTCCTTATAGCCCAGTGTTTGGCTCCTTTGTGTCGCTGTGGAGTCCCCCAGAGCACCACAAAACCTGGGTAAATCCTTACAGACATGACAGAGCCAGCCTGCCCTCCGGGACACAGTGTGGTATAAAGGACTCAGGCCAGAACTATTACTCAGACACACCACCGATCTGAGGGCCAGAATAGCAGCAATTATTTAAGTATTCTTGGAAACGCCAAAATTTTCTTTCTTTTACTTTGTGCTAATGTTTTCCTCTGGGCTTCAGAACAGACCTGCATTGTCAGCACAACACAACGTCCCTCACTCCGCCTTCCCTTCCCCCAAACACACACACACACACACACACACACACACAGGCGGAAGAGAAACCCATGCAGGCAGGGTCTTCTGTGAGTTCATAGAGAGCCCATGACCCAGGGAATTGGAGCCCCTCCTCTGCGACACCTGGTCAGTGTGGTGGAACCTAGTTCGCCTGTCAGATGCAGCAGGTGCAGGAGCCAAGGTTGGTGGAGGGGGGAGGGTGCTGGGGACGCAGCTGGAGAAAAGGCTCCTCTCCAAACAGGTCAGAGCCCTGGAGAAGCAGCCCAGCACATGTAGCTCAGTACAGTTTCTTTGCCCACAGTGGATGCAGAGAGCCCTTTGATCTCCTCGACCAGTAGGTGGCGCCCTTGCATCTGGTACCCAGCTTGATGGAGCCAGAAGCTGCCACCTCTACCTGCGCCCTGTCCCTCAGGTGCCTCTCCCAGAGTGGCCCCCGATGACTGGTAGCTGCCACCTAGAACGAGCTGCTCCCTCCATCACCGAGCACACAAGCGAGGGCTCAGTTGGTGACCGTGGACACATCACCAGGCTTTTTTACCTGGGGTCTCCCCCTCACTCACCCATTTTCTAGTAATTGTGCCCAGAGCACCCGAGCTAATTGAAACAAGACTTGGACTTTCATGTTAAAGTAGCCTTCAACTGGGAGGCAAGGGCTGCTTCTGGAAAATGTTAATGCTTTCCTGTTGGATACCAATCCTGCTTGGAACTAAGCTTCAAACAAAACCTCATCTGTAAAATGAGGGGGTTGAATCATCCCGAATAGCCATTCTGGCTTGGACGTTTGTGCTACTGTGAAAAAAATTCCAATTGAACCCTGGGTCGGGGAGCCAAGGGCTACTTCTAGTTGCCAGTGGTGTTGTCACAAATAAAGTGGTTGTGAATCAGTTTTTATTTTAGGCCTTGCATTTGATAGATTAATTTCTATTTTGTGGGCCACTCTGAATAATTCCAAGAAAATCTCTCCATCAGAGGCTCCACTGACATCAACACCACCAGATAGGAGGCCCCCGGTGTGCAAACCTCAGGCTGAGTCACTTTTCGAAGACTTGGCTCCAGGTGAAAAAAAAGATTGTTTATGCTTGGGACCCCTAGTTTCCATGGAGACAGAGTTTCTCCCTCTCTATCCACCTTCAGGGGGTGTGGGCTTCAGAGGGTTTCCCACCTACCCGTGCCCAGAACTGAATTTAAGAGGTCCAATCTTGGGTCAGACAAATCCATCATCCCTGAAGACATACTGAAGACAGACAAAAGCTCTGTGTTCTGGACAGCCGGACAACCTGAATTTGGGGGGTGTGGCCTTCACTGCTATATAATTTTGGCTTGGAGGTTTATTATTTGTTTGTTTACTTAATTATTTAATTATTTCTTATGGGATTTCTCCATGTAGGTACAGTCTTGCTGAGACCTCCTAAGCTCTTTATTTGGAAAAGAAAAGATCCTTTTTTTTTTTTTTTTAAAGAGAGTAGAGAGGTTTATAATCACTTCAGATGGGAGACCAGAACTGCTGAATAGAGAACTGTGTTTGGAGGAGATCAGCTGGGAATGAGATGAAGCACAGTGAAGAGCAGCAGATGGTTTCTAAACTGACAAAGCAAAGAGTTTTCTCTTTACTCCAGTTCTAAATTCTTTAGAACCCTGGAATCTCCACACTGAAAGAGACCTCCGAAGTCACCTGGTCTTTCCTCCATCCTTGGCAATTGTCACCCACTGCCTGTTTCCCAGGGCAGTCAACTCTATATTCTTATAACTCGGTTGAAAAAAATCTTCTGAAGTTCTTAGAATGAGCTGAAATCAGCCTCCCCGTAACTTCCATCCACCAGCCACAGGTTTGTTCTCAGGAGGCCCGTGCAGAGAAGAAAGTATCAACTTTAGTCCAAGTTAGCTTGGACTACACCATTCGCAGCAGCTACCATGTCATCTTCTCTTCTGGATAATATACCCCTAGTTCTTTTAACCACTCCTCGTTTTCAGTCATTTCCAGACCCTTCACCCTCCTGGCAACTCGCCTCTGGATGCTTTCCAAGCTGTCAGCTTACATTTTACGCTGTGACTGGGACTCTGTGCTGATGTTCCCAGGTTCTCTGTTGATGGGCTGACGGATGTAGGGACATCCTGAAACTGCAAAGCCGCATGCAGATGTCTCACCAGAAACTGGTTACAGGGACACGTCCTGTTATCAAGAACAATCTTGGAGTAGCTGGCAAACACTATGGCATGTTTTCTACTATGAGAACCACATGCTACATATCTTTAAATGTGTCTCTAGAGAATCAGAGTATAGTTGGAAGTGATTTATTTTTCCTCCAATGAACGCTTAGTATCAATCTTCTAGGATCCTATCTCTGATCATAGAAGAAAGGCTTTGGAGCTGTGACAATAGATGGCCCAGTCTCTCACCTCAAGGAGATTAAATGGAATGGTCTACAAAAGCTTAATTGGCCCAGGTGTGCTAGCTCTGAGCAACTTTGGAAGAATTCTGCTTGTGATTAAAAAAAAAGCATAGTCATAGATGACTGGAGATGGAAGGAATCTCAGGAAGCTTGAATTGATGTCCCTTGGTTTATAGACGTGCAAACTGAGCTCCAGAATTTGTAGCTCATCCACCTACCCGTCTATCCTTCCATCCATCCACACAACAAATGGATTTATTTAGCAGCCACAATTTGCAAGGTAATATATTTGGGGGGAGACCAAAATGAACAACAATACCAGATAAGGAGTGGGAAGCAACCTCACTGGTGTATGGATAAAGAGCTCTTATTGAATGATCTGGCCAAGGTAATCCAGTTGGTTGGCATCAGAGCCAGGAATAGAAACCAGGTCTTCTGACATCTGGCACAGGGCTTTTCCCAAAGCACATGCTATCACTAGTAAATGACTAGATGGTAGGTGATAGAGCATCTGCTCTATTTCAGGGGACTGCGTCCTAATGGAATCCTATTTAGACATTTCAGGCAATATGTCTGTAATTGGTGAATGTGCTGGTTGCACAGAATGCTTCACCACTGA